CCCTCTACAAAAAAGTCTTAAAAAAAAAAAAAAAAAAAAAACCATGTCGGGACATGTGCACACATGCCCAGGATCCTGACAGGATAGAGAAAACAAGGAAAAAGAACTGCAGTGTGAGCAGTCCCTGTTGGTGTTGGGGGTTGCTCGCTTGCTCAATCTGGCACATGCATACCTTTTGGCAATCAATCAATCGAGACTTCCCAAATTGGAAAGCAAAGAGGAATAAGAATGGAGGGAAAAAAACCTAAATCCAAAAACCCCCTCATTAAGACAACATTAAGACAACTAAAAAGCTGTAACAAATGCATAATGGGAATACCTGAAAGAGAAGAAAAAGAGAAAGAAAAGAAACTTCTAAGTAGTAATAGCTGAAAATTTTCCAAAATTAATGATAGGGTTAAACCTCAGATCCAGGAAGCTCAAAGAATACTCGAAGCAGAAGCAATATCAAAAAGTCCACACGGAAGCCTATCGCATTCAAACTGTAGAGAACTGAAGACAGAAAATCCTGACAGAGGGACCAGCAGATGGCACAACGGTTACGTCACTGGACTCCCTCATAGCCGACCGCAGTTTGAGTTCCAGACCCAGTGGCTCAAAACTCATGCCTGGCATGTGTGCGTGTGTACCCAAAATCCCAAAAGGAGAATGGAGAAAGGATTGCAGTGTGGCCATCCCCTGGGGCGTGATTTCTCACTTTCTGTCTGTCTCTGTCTCTCTGGCAAGTGCACACTCCCTAAAGCAAAATTCTCTCTCTAAAAAATAAGAAGAAAAAGAAAATCCTGAAAGAAGCCAAAGGAAAAAAAACACTTCATGTAGAGAGGAACAAGGATAAAAGTACACTGAACTTCTCTTCAGAAACCGTGCAGGCAGAGCGAGACATTAAATCCTACAGTGTTCTCTCTATATTAAGAGTCAAGTTTCATCTGATATTTTATGGAGGCTCATCGAGAGAGTCAATTAAAATCATTACAGAGAAAACAAGAACAAAGAGGTGGTAACGGTGATTCTCAACCTTGAGTGTGCGTAATTATCACCTGGGGAACTTGCTATACACACGGATTCCTCGAGTCCATCCCCAAAACCGATGACTGAGCAAGTCTGGGTTAGGGTCTGGAATCTGCATTTCAGAACCACTATGAACGGTTCAGGGGTCTCAGTGACGGATGGGTCTTCACGGGATTCAGGTGCTGAGGAGTATGCATGTGCTTAGGCTAGCTTCGGCCAGTATTCTACTGCTAAAAACAATCTTGGTCAGAACTCATAGGCTACTGATCACCAAGAACTGAACAAGCCCTCGTCTTGATGGGCAACTGAGAAGAAAGAGGCCGTGCCAGGGACAATTCCAACAATGTAACAGACGGATGCTGCTTTAAGCCATCAGGCTGTGGAAGTTTATTACACAGCAACAAGGAACTGATGTATATGCTAACCAGTTTCCTGTCTCAATAGAACTAGATTTTCTTACCTACATCCATCGGGCGTTCTGCATTTAAGCTATCCGTGCTGCCTTGGTGTCCACCCAAAGGGGCCTTCACCTGTTGATCTGATAATTTCCCAGTACTGACAGATCTAAAAAGAACAGTGATGTTAACATGGAAAAGTACACTTCTAACAGCAGAAGAGTTCATAGGAAGTCAGCAAGCAGGGAGACAAATAACAGATACCAAACAATTCAAGGCAGAGATAAACTTCGATAACCAAAATAACAGACAGAAATAGGCTGTTCAGGAAGCTCAGGAAGAGCTCTGTATTTACACGGACATGGGAAGCAGCTGTGACCTTCAGAGGTCCTAGACAATACTCATCCACAGCCATGTGGCACAGATCAGTTGCTAAACCAATGTGCTCTGGTGGCCTCTACAACACAAATGTACTTGACTACGGTTTTCACGGTTAAGGCCAGAGAGGAAACAGTCTCTTACCTGCCAAACACTGCCTTGCTCTGTGGCTCAGATGGCTGCCTCTCACTTCCTGGTGCTAAGAGGCAGTGGGAGCACTCCCGCGGGTCACCCCCGTCTCTGGACTGCCCTTCAGCAGGCCCATGACGTGTCACCAAGGCTAGCAGGTTGGAAGACGCTTGAGTTTTAGGGATTTTGAAAGGAGCTGTGGTCTAAAGAAACAAGTAAGCTCGTTAATATGATGTGTGAACTGTTCAGAAATGGCGGGCTGTACAACCCAGTAGTCAGGAGTGCATAGACTTTGGAGTCAGGCAAAACTGGATTCCAATGGTGGCTTTTCTATTTACAGCCTCTATGACCTTGGGCCGTTCATGTCAGCGCTAAGCCTCAATTTCCTTTCTGCAGACCAAGTGGGGTTGTGTACATAAAGCACTCGGCACGTGAGAGACCGAGACTGTGACTAACTGGTCCATGGGCCACGCTCACGGAATTCCAGCTCTTCTCATCCGAGTCCCTCCCATCAAGTGCAGCACTAGCTCCCGACAAAAGGACTTAAAAACACACCTTAGTAGGAGAGCCAATGATGGTTGGTAGAGGAGTTTTAAAGAACCAGTCAGAACTCCGTGGAGAGGACCCCATGTGCTTGGTGGGGGAGGTGCCAAGGCTGCCCGGCCGACTGGGCTGAGGTGAGTAGCTGTAACCAGCCCCGGCATGGGATGGGCACACAGGGTCCGAGTGCTGTTTTCTGAGCTTCTGCTTGTTCTGATAGATATCGGTGAGGGTGGGGGCGCTCTGCAGTCTAGCACCCAGGAAGAGAGACTGCGGGGACTGAGCCTGTGGCACTGGAGAGCCTAAGAAGAAAAGGAAAGCAACATTAACCCAAAGTGACGAAGTGCAGGGCAAAAGCTAAAGACTCAGACAATTTCTAAAACTCTGATGCATGTCGTTTTCCATGAGAAAACACACAGAATGATCACAGGTACATTGCTCATTCTCACAGAAGACACAATTTAATGATAATGGTTATTCTTGTTTTTTACGTTTTTTTAAAAAGAGAGATTTTATTATAAGGGCACATGTGCTCACTAGAGAGAGACAGAGAGACAGAAAATGAGAAATCCCCCTCGGGTGATGGCCATGCAGCAATCCCTTCTCCTCCATTCTCCTCTTAGGATTTTGGGCATGCACACACCTGTGCCCAGCATGAGTTTTAAGCCACCGGGTCTGGGGCTCAAACTGCAGATGACCATGCGGGAGTCCAGCAACGTGACCATTATGCCATCCACTGGTCCCTACATGAGCTGTTTTAATCAGCAGCTCACAGTAATAGACTAACGCAAGGTCTATTGGGCACCAGATAGAACTATATAGTTAATGGTTAAAGATAATGAAAACAACAAAGGCCTACATTGAACAAGATTACTTTTACTCTTCTTATGACTATATACATGGGCATATTAATGCAATTATTCTCTTTTTTCACACAGAAACTAAAAGAAACTTTTTTTTTTTTTGAGAGGTTTTTGCTAGAGGGCACATGCGCTCGCCAGAAAAACCGAGAGAAAGAAAGCAAGAAATCACTCCCCAGGGGGGATGGCCATGCCACAATCCCTTCTGCTCCATTCTCCTCTTGGGATCTTGGGCACGCACGCACACGCACCCGGTGTGAGTTTAAGCTGCCGGGTCCAGGACTTGAACCGTGGTCGACTATGTGGGAGTCCAGCGACATAGCCATTACGCTAACTGCTGGTCCCTAAAAGAAACTTTTTAAGCTAACCCAAAATAAACCCGTATTTGAAAACAAAATTTATAATATGTAGGACAGACGATCATAGAGACAATAAACCCTTCTTGTCTTTTACTTAATTTGCCTAAAAATAACAAGCATATGGAAACTTTATCAGTTTCATTACTCACTCCAAAGGAAATACTTGCCTACAGCTTCCTAAGGGGAAACCACATCAAGGGTCCAGGAGGTCGGTCCCCCGGAACCACATAAACCTTGTTGCCGACCGAAGTCCACTAAGCTTTGACTCCCAGATACACACTCTGGAGTTTCCTGCCAGCCATACTATCACCAATCGTGTCCGGGTCATGAGAACACTCTGTGACCTTCATCTTTCTAAAGCCCTTTACAATAGAATATGACTTACAAAATGTGTTTTACACACAACTCTCCAGGTATACATACAGTACATAATAAAGCAAATAAAGTTCAAATTTCTTTTTATGTGATGATAGCCAATGGCTCTTGCCAAGAATACCATTCATTTCACTGTTAAAGAAATTTAATCTTTTTTCTTTCTGAGAGATTTATTTCTTCTTTTCTTTTCTTTCTTTCTTTTCTTTTTTGGAGTGGTTTTTGCTATCGGGAACATGCGCTTGCCAGAAAGACAGAGAGAGACAGAGACAGAAAGCGAGAAATCACCACCCAGGCCACGCCATAATCCCTTCTCCTCCATTCTCCTCTTGGGATCTTGGGCATGCATGCACACAGGCCCAGCGTGAGTTTAAGCCACAGGGTCTGGGACTTGAACCGCAGTCAACTACATGGGAGTCCAGTGACAAAGCCATTACGCCAACTGCTGGTCCCTCTGAGAGATATTTTTACTAAAGGGTGCCATGTGCTCGCCGGAGAGATAGAAATGGAGAAATCACTTCCCATGGGGGATGGCCATGCCACTATCCCTTCTTTTCCATTCTTCTCTCGGGATTGTGGGCACGCACATACATACGCCCAGCCTGAGTTTCAAGCCACCGGGCCCAGGTCTCAAATGCGGTCAACTATGTGGGAATCTAGCAATGTAACCATTATACTATCTGCTGGTCAGAGAAATTTCATTTTCTAAATTGATTTTCATAATCTATGTGACAAAGACAAAAATTTAGCTAAGTCATTAATCCCTATGACTTATTTTCATAAAGAAATCTTGTAAGATCAGCTATGCAATGTTAAATCATATCATCTAGACCAAGATTCTAAATATATATATATATATAGCATAGAAAATAATTCATATCAATTCTGTTCTTTTGATAAGACTAGAAAGACATAATTCAGATCCATTTGTAACAGAGTTTGAATTATTAATATACCAAACACATTCTCCAACCTGAGGAGTTTCTACTCCTGGACTCATGGCCCTGAGGATGCCCACAGCAGCACTGAGTGAACTGCTCAGGAATGGTGCCAACTGTGAAGAGAGAGGGGGGAAGGAAGAAGAGACAATTCAAAACCTTTAAGAAGGAACAGAAAGTCGTAACAGATGCACAAATTGTACAGTATGTTATAGCTTACGGAACTGTTCAACAACGCTTGCTGAGCAATCGCCGTGCCAAGTGCTGGGCACATTAAGATAGAAGTAACCTGCCCTGCAACAAGAGCACTAGGAAAGAGCCTCGCAGACAAACGCCCATAACCACCATGTGTACAGACAGAGAACAGAGACAGGCACGGACAGGCACCCACTCAGGCCTGCTTGAGTGCGTCAGGGAATTCCTCTCAGACAGCTCAGTGGTTGAGGCTGCTACTCAGTCGGGCTAAGAATCTTCTTAAAGTGTGCTGCAGGCTAGGGCCCTCCCTTTCCCCAGGAGGCAGAGCTGCATCATGGACAGCAGCTCTCCTTGCCTCCACCAGCCCCTTCCCTGACCCTTCCCTGCAATGGGGACCCCCTTAAGTTTCTAGTATCCAATTCCTCCTTTGTACCTCTCTCTCAAACTAACAGAGGAGGAACTGTGGAGGCTTCAGGGAGCATACGCAGACAAGAGACCCATGTCTGTAATGATATGAAGCGCCACTGTCTGAGTGATGAAGTGACAGGCAGAGATTAGATCCCGAGAGTCCCAAGAGGAAGTGAGGACAGGGATGGGATAGCCACAGAGAATCAAGCCTTCATGAGCCAATGTTTCTGAAGAGTGTGTGTCCTGTCAGATTTTTCACAGTGAAAAGAGGTTGAAAACAACTGCTTTAAACTCTCCATACCCAACGGGGAAGGTGAGTAAGGCCTGGAAGAACCAGTGGAGAGCCTCCGTCCAGCTGTCTGCACGGTGTCTGCTGGCGCTGGAGAGCAGGACCCCAGCCGGAGAAAGCCCAGGGGGCTGGTGTTAGACCTTCGTACCACTGCAGATCTGAAAAGGAAAAAAAATTACTGCTCTCTGGGGGTCCTAGGATCCTCTCTTCATTCTGTATTTTGTCTAAAGCCTCTTCACAATCTGCCATGGAGGAGAGTTTTTAAAATTATGTTAAGCCATCATGTGGAACAAGTACAAAATGTGTAAGATGATAGAGAAATGGAATCTCCCTGCCCTGGTGTTCTAGCTGCCTAAATCCCAACACTTCCCCAGTCCCACTTATGAGGCGACCATTATTTTCGGTTTCTAGTATATCTTCCCAGAGTTCTTTAGTGCATATATAAGCGAATGGAATACAGATCTTATTCTCACCTTGTTTAACACCAAAGGTGAAATACTAAATACCAACCATTTCTCATCTTTTTGGCTTTAGGTCCTCTTATTATTCCTAAGAATTACTGAAGCCTCAGAGCATTTTGTTTACTTAGCTGACATCCACTGATGCTTTTACGATGTTGAGAAATTAAACTCAGAAATTTTAAAAATTGTTAATTCATTAAAAATAATATACTTACTGCAGGTATTATTTTTAGGATGAAAAATAAGTATATTTTCTAAAACAAAATCAGTTAGTATGAAGCCTGGCATTATTTCACATTTTTGCAATCTCTAACATCTGGTTTAATAAGACATTTGAATTCTCCTAACTGCTTCTGCATTAACCTGCTAGACAGTATGTTGCTCTGGGCGAAACAGATGAAGAAGGCCCATGCTTACACAGGCACTGCACTCGAAAAGGAAGGAATATTTTGGCAGCCTTTTCCGATAACCATGATACTCTTCTCTGATACTACATCGCAACTCAGCAAGTGGTTGTTCCTAAAAGGTTAGCTTGAGCCAGACAGTGGTGTGGTGGTTAAGGCAGGTGGATCCCACATGCTCAACCATGTGGTTCAAGCCCCCAACTGGTGGCCTGAAAAACACCCCAGGCATATGTACATGTATGCCCCCCCCCGCCCCCGGAAAAAAACATCACAAAGCGGGGTAGAAACGGCGGAGACAGGACTGCGGTGTGGTAACTCTTGTGAAACTGTGCTGTGCTTTCTCACTTTCTCTCCGTCTCTGTCTCCCTCTGGCACGCTCACAAGCACCCGGGCAAAAAACATTTTTAAAAAAACAAAAAAAGTTAGCTGTAATATGGAACCTGAAATCTTATCAATAAACTTTTATACTTGGTTACATTAAACTCTATTTAAAGCATCTTGTGATTCAAATGAGTCTTTTATCTATACATGATTTTTTAATATTTGGTCATTCAGAAACTATTGTTTCACTGAGTTGTGCAGATATTCCAAATGTTGACACATTATTCAATCCCAAGGTCATATTCATATCAAAATATCACCATCAACTGTAACAGAAATACCTGTAAGGAATAACGGAAGCTGTCAAGACTTACAATTTTCCAAAATTCTAAGTTTTGCTTAAAAACTCAAATCTTATCATTGACATTTATGGTCACTGGTTTCCTTCCACATTACAGAATCCAGTTAATTCTGTGTTCGTTTTAGGTTTTTGCCATAGAACATGCATGCTCACCAGAGAGAGAGAGAGAAAGTGAGAAACACCCCTCCTCCCCCCCAGGACGGCCACACCGAAATTCTTTCTCTGTTCTCCTCTCAGGATTTGGGACAAGCATGGACAAGTGGCCAGATCTGGGAGTCAAACTTTGGTTGGCCCAGTGGAAATTCAGTGCCTTAACCAACACACCACCTGCTGGTCCCAACCCTAGCTAATTTTCAACAAAACGGCTGCTACCATAACCACAGTTTGTCAGCATTCTTTCAGGTGAAAAGGATGCTCCACAGAAAAGGGGTGAGTGAGGCCCGCGGCGATCACACTCATCCCCGTGCTCTCTACGCAGCACAGTGCTTTCCACGGTGTGCCGCTCGGGTAAGACCTGCAGTGAGAGAGAATGCGATTTGCTGCTTCACCAAGAAGTTCTTCCCACCCCCTGTGTGCAGTGGTGAAGAGCGCGAAGACCAGCAGTGCCACTGGGCCGTCACCTGGAGTCACACCACGGCACCCGCCGTTTTACTCACCTTTGCTTTTCGTACCATCAATGCAGCAAAACAGCTATGCCCTAGTATTCCTCTGACAGTAATTTGGACCTCATAGGCCCTCTGCGAGGGACGAGGACTGTACACACAGAACATGTCCATGACTGTGTAGAGTAAGTGACCAGGGCCCGAGGAGTTACTTCTTCCCCCCACTCTGAGATTTAGGCCTCTCTGGGTGCCAGGGAGCACCATGGTTCTGATCCTGTCTCATCACACACAGTTTCACCTGGCCTGTGGAAGCGTGGACCCGTTGTCTATTCTCTTTCCATTTTCTACAACTTTATGTGCACTCTCGCCCAACGAAGATCTTGTCTGACCTTAAACTTTGTAGAGTTAGACCTTCATTATTCCTTTACTACGATCTTAGTGAGGTTTCAGGAGGGAGAAAAAGTTGAAAAATATTTAAATAATCTGCTGCAACTAGTAGGATTTCATTTTCAACAAATCTTCCTCAATTCTTAAAAGTAATCGTGGCAAAAAAAAAAAAAAAAGTAATCGTGGCGAGTTCTAGCAGCCCCGGCGGGAGGAGCAGTAGGGTTTATCCGCTGAACTCCGCAAAGGTTCTAGGCACGTCGCGGCCTCATCAGGCACCCAGCACACACCCTGTCCGCAGCCAAGATGCCCAAGAGGAAGGTCAGCTCAGCTGAGGAGGCGGCCAAGGAAGAGCCTAAAAGGAGATCGGCGAGGTTGTCGGCTAAACCTCCTGCAAAAGTGGAGACGAAGCCAAAAAAGGCCGCAGGGAAGGATAAATCTTCAGACAAAAGAGTGCAAACAAAAGGGAAAAGGGGAGCAAAGGGGAAACAGGCTGAAGTGGCCAACC